CACTTCACTTCTCTGAATATCTGCCATTTCGTGAGCTCAGCAAACATACCTGCATTGAAATTAAAAGCAAGCTAACATGGGAATAGTCAGAATGAAATAAATACAGCAGGTAATTTTTCATGCTCACATTTGATTTTTATTTTTATAACCATTTTTTGCACTCCTCCACTACAATCGTGAAGTAGAAATTAACGCCTTATTGTTCTCCATTGTCATGCAGAAGTACTGAGCTGTTGTTGGTTATAGCAGGAAAACTTCTGTAATAAAGTTTTTTGTGTGTGTGTAAAAAAATAACAGCTTTAAATTCCCACTACATCTTTAAGCATCACTTCACAGGGACAGATAGTACCCGTATTTTCTAGGGGGAAGCTATGAGACATGTAAAGGGCAAGCTATGAACCCTTGTAACTGTAAGATAGAATTGCTGCAGGAAGCTCATCTGGCTGAGAGGAACAGCAATAACCAGCCTTAAAACAAAGGAACTGCAAGGAAGACAGCTTCAAAACTTCAGAGCAGCTTCTACAAATTTCAGAGGATAAGGCTGATGAAGGATTCACTTTTGCAGAGGGGTAGAGATCTTCACAAGGTGTCTCAGAGACCTTTTTCCACATAAAACACATCTGCAAGAAAACCTACAGCAAATCCATGCAAACAGAAGAGACCATTGGGTCTCTTCTTCCTTTGGGATTTCAACAACAACAAAAAAACCAACACGACAAAACAAAAAGTCGAGAAACACACCTTGACTTCCAGATGAAGTTTCTTGCCTCCCAGTGCTTGTGATCTCCAGTTTGGCCAACATGGCTGTTGTCAAGTTCTAATAGCTACCCGCAGCAACCATCAGCACCAACCAATGCAGCTTGATTTCTTCAAATGCACATTTGGCCTGACATTTCAGTGAGTTGTAATTTTTGAGAAATTTCATGTGTCATTATTCAGAAAGAATTTACAACAAAATGCTGAATTTCTACTCAAAGTAGAAATAATAATAATTGTTTGTAAATTGTGGTAAGTACTTAGAATCCAAAGATGAGGAGGATATACTGTATTCTTAGCATTGTAACCTACACTGCTTTAACTGAATAAATAGGTCTGCCTCTGCTATATAGTCCTGGCCCATTACATTTCAGATTGCCAGCGTCCACTTAGATTTTGGCACTTTCTATACAGTACAAACATGTCTGCATCTGCATGTTTTATGTGCTCAAGAAGTAGCCTCAGTTTCTCTGACTCAGGTCCCCAAAATGATGTTCGGTTGCCTCTTTGCAGACTGTATGTTTCTTACCAGATGCTTGTGCACTGTCTGAGCTCCAAACCAACTTAATGCAAGCAAGTGCCATCCAAAAGCCATACAGCTTTGCTTGCATAACACTCTAGCTATGTCTGCCTACCAAAAGGTTGCAGCCATATGACTACAGCCAGGGCCTGACTTTAAAACCAAGACTTCTCAATTTGTATCCTGTGTGTAGTGTTTTTATTTTGGGGCAAATTCAAGACTGTGACTAACTCTTACATGGTAACTGGGCAAACCATTAGGCCCTTGGTTAGCATATCTGAAGTCATGTTAATAGCATCTTATTTTAAAGCACTTTCTTAGTGTCTCTCCAGCTGATGAATAAAAAAAAAAAATATGTAAAAAAAAATTGTAAGAGTCCAAAGAAATCTGTACTATACCATGTACCGACTGCAGGAGACCTTATAGCAGCCTCCCAGTCCCTGAAGGGGGCCTACAAGAGAGCTGGAGAGGAACTTTTTACAAGGGTGTGTAGGGCCAGGACAAGGGGTGATAACTTTAAACTGAAAGAGGACAGATTTAGACGAGCTATAAGGAAGAAAAATTCTTCTCTATGAGGGTGGTGAGGCACTGGAACAGGTTGCCCAGAGAAGCTGTGGATGCCCCCTCTCTGGAAGTGTCCAAGGCCAGGTTGGACGGGGCTTTGAGACACCTGGTCTAGCAGAAGGTGTCCCTGCCCAGGGCAGGGGGGTTGGAGCTAGATGATCTTTAAGTTCCCTTCCAACCCAAACCATTCTATGATTCTATGACTGACTAATTCCCAACAAAAATGGTTATTTATAAAACATCTTTCACCAGAAGAACTGTCATAACTGCAGAAAGCTTTTCTCCAGTGTATTTTTATTAGGGATTCCTGCCATCATATCAACATACAAAACAATCAGGATGTTGACATATAGAAATATGAAATTCACTGTACAAAGATAAGGCTCAAGTTACAGGTATATTTTCCCCTTAGTCTCCATGAAATAAAACCATTTTTAATTCTTCCCAGAGTTGTGTTTATAAATGTTAGACAAACCACAAAATAGATTTCAAGTACATAACATCTTACAATATAATCCAAGCACAGACAGAAATACACAATACTGTACCTATAGATGCTCCATAATCCAAGTCTGTCATCCTCACCAATAAAATACTACACTGCTACTCTCTCTGAATATGCCCAACCATATCCTTCTATGTGTATTATGTGGTCCTGGCCTTTAAGTTATAAGCCTCTCACGACTTTCATTTAAATTACTTTGATAGACCAGAGAATATCAGGAAGGAAGGGAAGAATTTTAACAGGCCAGGTCTGAATGTATGCACATGGTTAGTAAAAGTAGGCACATGTGTACCCACACACTTGCATTTAACCCTACATAAAACTTCACTGCACTGAGCATTTTCTGAGATCCTGTTCTCATGCAAATCAGCTATTTTCTGATAGAGTTAAATCAAGCATAACAATATTCCTACTTCTGGAGTGCTGTAGTTTACAGGGACTAGACTATATTTTAGAGGATAGGATCTAACTTTTTTTATTTTAGAGGATAGGATTTAACTTTTTTTTTTTTTTTTTTAATAATTATCAGACTTATATAGGAGCCTGTACAGAACCATGTCTCCGGAATCCAGCAGGATGCCAGCTCTCACAGCCTTCACCACTCAAAACACCTTTTCTGACAGCTTTGTTTAGAAACAATGCAAGTGAATAATTTCCTGTTAAGGCCAAACATCTACTTTAGTTCACTCTCCACTTCTATTAGGCTGAATGACTACTACCTCATGGGAAAGGATCGTTTAGCTGCAAGTAGCACAAGAAGAAATACACATCAAGTAACTAATCAATAATGATTTTTCTGGGGAACAGACTGGCAAGGACAAACAAAGACAAGAGAAAAAAGGCTGTTGTTTAATTTAGCCTTTGCTGGCTGGCAAATGAATAGCAATCCAGCAGTTTTCAACTGAGAAAAGGAACTCCTAAGCCCTGTAATTGTTTTGTCCTTTAAAAACTGGAGAAGATTAGAAGGGAATTAGAAACCCCCTAAGCAAACTGCCATTTTCAAACTAGACATTTGCAAGCGCTTATATGAGAAAACCAAGTAAAACCAATTCTCTGATACTGAAACTAAAGGAATTTATGCGGTAGGAATTAGAGATGTGGTTACAATGTGCTAAACGCACATCTAATAAAACTGCCTGAGATATGTCTCCAATTCATAAATGTCTTAAGCAGGAGAAAGACTCTGAGGCCAAAATCAGAGCTTCCTAGATTACATACGAAATACGTCTGCACTAAGATTGGGGAAGGGGGAAGAATAAAAACTTTCTCCTCTTAAATACAACCTCTCTGGAACATTTGAGGGCCTTCACATGTTCTCAGCATTGACACGATTTTACTTAAGTATATTCTCTAAGTATATTCTCTATTGGAATTAATACCTTTAGATACGCAGATCCGTGTTACATGGAACAGCATTAGATCATGTAACTGGGCTCATAGTAACAAGGAAAGAGGGTAAATATGCTGCTATATGTGAAAGGAAGCATAGTAATATGCACAGAAAATACGTCGTCTTAGCGATTAGTAATAATGGGCATCAAGGATGAAGATGCATCTCAAAGTGTTTAAGCTTTTAATTGTGAGTCAGTAGAATATTTTTATGTCAACTGTACAGCCCAATGCTTTACTTTTTAAAAGGAATAAATTTTCTTTCTGTATTACTTTTAAAAGTAGGTCACTCACCTGCTGACTTAGCTAGGCTTTTGGCTATTTTTTTTTCCTTTTTTTTTTTTTTTTTGCTACTTACTATGATCTTCTTCCATGTTATGTACAATAATCTATATTTAGACTGAAGACTCACTCTAAAACGTACTTGGACTATTTTGTACAGACTTTCTACAGCACTGATAAAGTGTAAGACAACCTGATAGATAAGAGGAGGGATCATTACTTTCTGTTCTGCTCACTTCCCCATGCTCTACAGCTGTGCCTTTCATAAATTCTTCTGCGTACTTGGTGTCCTTTCACCTCTCCCAGGCAACCTCTACTGAACTTGAGTGAACTTTCTATATGTTTCCCAAACCACCACAGTCCCTCTGCATAGAGCTATATTAAACTCATTAATTCTCCAGCCAGTACTTTAAAAACAAATCATTGCAAAAACACCCTACATGCCCTTGTGCATTATTCTTACCAATTTATACATTTAAATAACATCAGAAGTTGTCTTGCTAAAAACTTACCAAAATATTTTAAACACATAAAAGTGTAAAAAAACAAACAAACAGAAAAACAAACCAAAAACAAAAACCCAGCATAAACACTGCTTGTATAGGCATTGGTTAGAAGAGATTGCTGCACTAAGGAATATATTCAAAGAAGCTTTTCTTTCAGTTTCATTGAATTTAGTGTCATGGATTGAAAGGTTAAGGACAACGAAACTTTTTGTGACCCTGTCTTATATGATGTCATAGATGAGCAGGAAGTCTGAAATGCCACTAAAATAAAGCTTATTTTTGGTTATTGAAAGGTGACTGTATAAGCCTGTAACTAAAGGGCAACTAAGTATGTAGAGGGAACTTAAGAACCTGAAGAGTCTGTAATGAACTGGATATGAAGACAGATACTGACTGATGGCCCCACTGGCATTATGGAAAGCTGGCACTAACTGAAATTTTGAATATAGCCCTTAGTTGTATCATATTTATTTAAAATTTAAAAGCTGCCCAGCATGTCACGAATGAAGTTTATTTTGCAAGCTACCCACTGCCTAAGGGGGCAGTAATATTCAATATGAAACTGCTTAAACTCCGGCGTCTGACGGATTTCGTGGAGAAAAGAGATTTGAAGGTCTGACTCCAAGAGAACAAGGAGAAGAGGGAACACAAACAACAGCAGTCCAAGGCCTACAAGGAGCAGTCTGGAGAAACTCTTCACAAAGGCATTCACCTCTATGTTGCCCATGAGAAACTCATAGCTCCACCTAAGCGCCCTCCGAGCTTCTTTCAGTTCTTCCTCCTCTGCAATCAAAAATGCATTTTCATCTGCTTCCAGTTCCTCAAATGAATCTGTATCATCTTTCTCATTCTCTACTCTTGGACAGGTATCAAAGAGCATGTCAATCTCATCATCAACAGGGGTGGGCAGCAAGCTGGCACTAGGATTGTATACCAGTTCTGAGATAGTTAAAGGTTCCTCTTTCATCTTCTCTTCCTGTTCAATGACAAGATCAGCATTCTCCCCAGTGTTCTCAGCTGCGGAGCTTGAAGTCACAGGTACTGAAATCTCATCCTCCTTTGGCAGCTGGATACCTGAAAAAAGGAGATGAAAATAGTGATCCTAAATTTTTGCCTTCATGGTGGCATAACTCTGCTTTCCAATAGTGTCTAACAGAACTCGGAAAGAAGATTCTGCAATCATTTTGCATATTGAAACCAGACCATACATAATTAGCAGAAACTGGAAAAGCTTTCCGAAAAGCTCCAGAGGAGGGCAAGATCTTTTACAACACTGCAGTACACCAGATCTCCTTAACTTCGACTGATGCAGCTACCACTAATAACGGTGTAATGCAAAACAGAAAACAGAACTACCCATTTTCTACTGGCAATCAGACTGCTCATAGAAATGAATACCTAGTACATATATAAACTGGTGCTATTTGGTGTCTAATAATAATAACAACAACAACCACCACTTACCTTTATTTCTTTGAGAAGAATGGGGAGAAAGTGGTAAGATAATGGCTGAGGTTGGAAATTTTTAATAGAGCATGCCATTAAAAAGAAACACTAGATTATCATGATAAATTTACGCTAAGAGTAGAGAGGATAAAAGGAGAGGAAGCCTGACATATGCTATGAGGATCAGATATCATTGAAACGGAATGAGAATGCCTCACGTCTTTAAAAAGCTCCCCTCTTCTCACGTCTCATTTTTCTGCCAGTCATCTTTCTACTCTTCGTACTCACAGCCTCTTTTCCTCCTCTCCTTTAAATTTCTCTCTCCCCCTTACAGAGGAGTCTTTCTTAGCCTTACTGATATGCTTGTGTCTTATGACCCCACTCTCTGCTCAAGCTTTCTCTCCTCTCAAAATTTACTCTCCTCTTTCCAGTCTAACACTAACAGCAGTAAGTCTGCAAAAAGCTTGAGCTGTTTTGCAGCTACATCAACACTGCAGTGACTGCTGTTAGTTGTCAGCTGCAGAAGTGGAAGGGAGGAAAGTCAGGCACAGAGCTTGGGCAAAGTGATGTCCCACATCCAACACTCATTACCATCATCAGATGCCATCTATGTGCAAAAGGCATAGACCACACACAGTATCACGTGCAACAGTAATATATAACAACACTGTGTACTGCTCATTTTTTCATGTTAAGCATCTCTCCATTCTTTACTAATGACTAATCTAAAAGCAACATATAGCAACATAGCAGGAAAAACCAGTACAAGGTTACATGACTTTTCCAACAAGCAACTCAAGAAATTCGTATCAAAGTACTATATATGATTCAAATCAGCACAGTTCTTAGATTTCAGGGAAAGATCACTGTAAAACATAGAAAACTGACATAATCAAAGATTCAGTCCAGTTTTAGTGCAGTAAAGATTAAGGTTCAGAGACTTTAAAACAACGTGATACAGAAGAAAATGTATTATTACAGAAAAAAACAGTAATCAGAAAAGCAGTACATCTCCAGTGCTAATTACACTAGACATATAATGGTTTTCAGTGTGAAATAAAAGGGTCTCCGCAAGCTCAAAAGTTTTTTCTTAAAGGATGACAAACATATAAAAAATTAAACAAAATAAAAGGCTTGTTATGGTCATTTTGAGATGAGGGAAATAAAGCATGACATGAACCACACTATAAGAAAGAGATGTTCTGTAAATATATGATACAGAACAAAAACTGAAAATCAAAAGTTCCTATCATAACGACATCTAAAATATAGGAAGATACACAGCTTAGACACATTTTGGATCACAATTCTAAGCTGCAATGTTAAATAATAACTGAACTATAATTGACCAAAATTCTGCAAAGAATCTCACTATGAGATCAGAAGTCTTTTCACATTTTTTTCTTGAAAATGTCACTGTTTTTTTTTTTACATTATTAGTCCTAAGAACTGTAGATACCATTCACTGTACTGCAATTATTAACTTTGTTTCTGAAACCTACTTTCCATCTATTTGACTAGACAGCAAAAGAATATTCTTACACCATTGGCTACTGATCACTGAACTAGCAGTAAGCGTAACTACACTTCAGCCAAATTGGTAGTACTCCCGTTAACGTAAATTTTCTGTTACAAATTTTTGCATTTCTTGAATGACAAGGTCTTACAATCTCTGTTTTCATTTATTTTTTTTTTCCCTTTTATTTCTACCATGAGTACCAGGCTCAAGACAGGACACAACCACGAAAATCCCAGTTTCCTAACTGATGCCAGACTGTGCACTACCAGGTCACTCAGCAGTGGACATGCCCTGAGGCAGACACAGGCATGTGATCACATTTCTGCCAGAGCTTGAACTACTCAGTATTTGCAGACAAATCTGCCAACACAAAGCTGACACGTCAAAACTTTGTGAAGGAAATTAAACAAGCAGATTAATACTTTGTGAGACAGAGCTGCTGCACTAGGAATCCTACAGCTTGTTACAACACTTTGTCATGAAAAACAACCTTCCGTAGTACCCTACTCTATGCCAGAGTGCCTGACAGTTACCGCAAAATCCTCCATGCGCCCTCTGCAGCTCTGCTAGCATGTTCTCGAGACGATAGAAAGGGTAACTAAGATACTTGCCAAGTTACCCCAGTTTATAGATCTCCCAAGTGATGGCTTGCTAGTATCTGGGAACTTTAAAATTATACTGAACTTACTACCAGCTGGGGTGAAATGCCAATAAATGCAACATAAAATATACAACTTCTTACAAATATTTCTAAAAAATATAAGAAATGACAGAAAATCTGCATTTTAAACCTACTTAAATTAAACCACTCGTCGAACAAGCTAGCTTGCTCCTTATTCGAGAAGACAACTTTCTGGACCCCCTTCTTAGTGCATGCTTTTATGTCTCATGTTCTATTAATTACAGAAAACATTCATTACAGAACACCATCCTCAGGAAGCATCCTCCACTTCAGTAGAGCATGATAGCTATTAGAATTCATTTCCCTTTTTAAGTCTTCAAAGTGGCCCAGACAGATCTCTCCCCTTGTAATTTGTTATCTTTTCCTGCTCTCTAGGAGATACACTGGCCATGTCTCCAGGTGAAGTTTCACATTCTGACTGAATCAGCCCAAAAGACCATTTCTGCTTCCCTCATTTCACCTCTGAGCAAGCCAGCTTGTCAAGCTAACCCAGGAAAAAAAACTTTCTTCCTGGGTTAGTTCTCTGATGGTTTTTGCTCCTGAACTGGCTTGTCAGCTGTACTCATGAGCACAGCACATTACCAGGGATGGAGAGAGAGCAGGAGTGCTCCTGTCACCAGCACCTAGCCAGCAGATCTGTGTGGCTGAAATGAAACTTCGTCCTCGATTTAAAAAATGCAGATGTCTCCTCATTAGCTTAATTTGACTGCTTAGCTACTAATTCCTTGCCTCAATTACTCCGTCCTCTCCTATCATAGCCATTTTAGAAATTCATCCCATTTCAGCATTTCCGCATGTTTTGTGCTGGAACTTATTGTCTACACCAGTCTTTGCTTTAACAAATACACTTGCCACAGTCATCAAGCAGAGGATACAGAATCACAGAATACAAACTGACTGGAACTAGACACAGCAGTGTACGAACACTAAGAGGTCAGAACAGATTTGCGGGGATCTTTCTCTTAAGCACACTGTAACAGCAGGTAATTCTGGATCATCAGACACACTCTGAGTCATCTGAGTGAGACTGCACCCATAATATCTTAAAACATAAAAGCCAAAACTTTTAAAATCTGGAGCCCAGCATAAAGCATCTACTCATATCTTTAGATACACAAGTACCACAATTCGATTTTCAAACGTGCTTTTCACTCTCTTAATAGGAGTAAAAGGTAAGCTGAGTCACTTACTTAGGTACCTCCTTATGGATTAAAGAACCTAATTTTAACCTCCCAAATCTGAGAATCCTGGCCATAGGCCTCTCTATACCTGCTTAGATTCAAGGTCAGTAATACATCTTCATCATGTTTCTCATCACAGAGAGGACAGCTGCAGCTACTGCAAAGAAAGGTCACCCCAATACTCTCCTTCCCCAGAGTAAATTCCAGCATGCATAACATACATAGTGAACATACACCAGAAAGAGCATATTAACTTTCATTAAAACTGTATTTTACTCCAATAACTGGCAAACTTACGGCTTTGCGATTAACCTGTAGATAGAAGGCAGCGGAGGAACCTTTTCAGATCCATGTTTTCTGAAGGGCTTTTATTAAAATTGGAGTGCATTGCAGGTCCAAAGCTTACATCAACTTTACAGTCCACTGTTTAGTTTGAGCAAGTAACAAGAATTTTCAGCTGGTTTATGTCTCATTAAAACATATTAAATGAAAGTAACTGCATTTTACATCAGCCAAATACAAGCGTAAATAAATACTGTTTCAGTATAAAAATTGAAAATTTAGAATGGGCATTAACTACTGCTGTTGCAAGCTCATTTGGTATTTAAAAAATAAATATATAAAGCTGTTCTTTCCTTTTTTCATATTCCCTGTAACCCCACAACATTTCTCACAGCAAGGACCGAGGAAACAATTAGCTATTAACTATGGTCACTCTAAGCCCACAGCAAAGTTCCAGTCATTCTGCAATATACAGACAAGTATGCTGGGCCACTCAGATTTTGATAGTGTCAAAAGACACAAGTGTAATGTCATTATGGCATATATCATTTACAATGCTTATGCAGGCATAAGAATACCACATTTAAGCATCAAAATTCAAAATCATTCTACAGTAGAAAAAACATTGCCGTGGCACAAATTTAAGAAAGAAGCAAGTTTTTCAGATTATTTACTTTTTGGATAGCCTTCAACAGAGTCAGTTATCTGAAGTAATAAAACCCAGTTAAAAGAAAAAAAAATATCCTCAAAGTCTGCCAATGGAAAAAGAGAACATAAAAGCTAAAGCAAGTCTGAAGCCAATATCCCTTAATTACTCTATAACATTGCTGCAAATCCTTTGCTCCTATTCATACATAACAATTATTTTGCTGCTACCCTTGTAAGACTGTAATTTTGTATAAATTTTGGGGCTAGATTTTAGAAGTGTACTGTTTCTTTAGTAATAGTTAAAATAAATGTTGTG